ACACACACACACACACACACACACACACACACACACACACACACACACACAAAATCAGTTTTATGTTTGTCCGTTTTCCTGTTGTTGTCTGTCCTCCCCCTGATCTTTTTCTAAGTGTTTTTGCTTACCCAAACTGAGCACCCTTAAGTGGTGCCAAACAGTCGGTGGTTCCTCGTTTGGAGTGCCTACTGCACTCCTATTGGGGCCGCTCAGTTCAGGATGTCTGTGTTGCATGTACGTGATGACGGGTGCTCATCGGAGTGACTCCCTGGCTCAGTGGGTGGTGGGAACCAACAGTCTGCAGGGTTCAATCGTGATGTGAGTTGGTCATGCGCTGCTTTGCTCCGTGTTGGATGTGTGGACTGCCTCGTCTGCGCACCACCGCCACCTTGCTGCCTGTCCCGCTTGCTTTGCATGTGGTTCTCTGCAAGTTGTTGTGTTCGCTGTGTGTTGTGGCCGTGTTGTTGGTGTTGCCTTGCGCTTCGCTGCTTCGCTGCCTTGCTGCCCAGCCGCTGGCCGTGCCGTCCGTATTTGTTGCTTGTGTGCCTTTAGGTTGGTTGCCTTGTTGTTGGTGCCTTGTGCTCCGCTCACGGTTGTCGAGCTGCTGGTCCACTCGCCCTGTCGTCCCTTGCCACTGCTACCTTGCTTGTGTTGCTTGTGCTTCACTACACAGTTGCCGCTCTGCATGTCCTGCGTGCCATGTCTTTCCTTGCAGTCGTTTTTGGCGTTGTGCAGCTGTGTTGCCTCTACTGTGCTGCCTGGTGCTCCACAAGGTCGCTGCCCACTGCTATGTTCCGCTTGGGGACAGTCTGCCTTCAACAAGGGTCAAAGGGTTCATAATACAGAGATTCCCGCAGATTGTCGAGGGTTCAGCCTCCTGATGAGTCGGTGCAACTCCGACGAAACAATCTTTCATCATTAGTTTTTATTTTATTTTATTTTTTTCGGTCTTTGAAACTTTTATGGACTTTACTTTTTTCTGATTTGCCTGCCTTGTGCGCTTGTTGTTGTCTGCCGTCCTATATCCCTCATGCCTTCCAGCCCTTGGTCATTTTTTTTGTTGCCTGCCGTGTCTGTTGCTTGTGTGTTGTCTGCCCTCCCTCCTCCCCCATGCCCTCCAGCCTATGTGTTGTCTTGTTGTCTGTAGCCCGTGTGTTTCGTTGTTGTCCCTTCCTTGCCTTTGGACTCGACTCCACTCAGATGCGTATCTCCTCCTGAAGTGATGTGATGGTATGGTGCATGGTTTTTACTGTGTAGAGGTGTCCGCAATATGTGTTCACACACATCATCTCTCTCTCTCTCTCTCTCTCTCTCTCTCTCTCTCTCTCTCTCTCTCTCTCTCTCTCTCTCTCTCTCTCTCTCTC